ACACACAGCCTTGGCCGGGATTCGCAGGTGCGTGCTTGAGGCTGAATGACACGCATGCGCGTGCAGGCTGGGCACATTGCGGGTGGGTTGCCGGCAAGCGCTTGCAACGGGGAGTTGTCCTGCAAGAACGGGCAGCCGAGCTGTTTCACAGCCATGCAGCTTGCGCTCCCAGAAGCAAAGGCGCTTCCGCCTTGTCTCTGTGCAGCAGATCAGCCCTCAGAAAATGAAGTGTGGCGACAAATGCCAGGGCAAGGTGAGTGTAGCTGACAGATTTTGGCGCGTCGTGTGGCAAGCGGAACGAGAATTACAATGAAAAGGAAGCTAGCCTGCGCGAGGGGAAGCGCTCTGGTTGGAAGAAGGCTCCAGACTTGCTTTCGGTGGTGCCGGAAACAAACAAGGAGAAAGAGCTGGCGCAAGGTGTGGGTGAGCTCTTCAAGAAGCTTCGCAGCAACAAGGGCCAGGCCAATGTAGCAGCCAGTGATGGCGCGGCCCAAGGTGACGTAGCTCCAGCTACTTCAAGTGCTCAGGCTAGTGCAGAGAAGCCAGATGAGCAGGGGGAGGAGGACATGGCAGAGTACGATCTGAACGATCCTGAAGGGTGCGCCGCGTATATGCTTGCGTGCTTCCCAGACAAAGAGCTCCAGGATGCGCAAAAGACCGTGCAAGACACCGCGCGGTTTGTCGTCACGTCAGAGCTGAGGAAGCGAACTGGCAAAGGCAACCCGCTGCATCATGTCTTCCAGAAAGCCATCATCAAGACGAATCAACTTGCCACCAAGTCTGCCAGAAGAGCATGGCTTACCGCGTGGCAGCAGAATAGGTCGCTCCGTTTTGCGAAGCCTCCGCCGAAGGCGAAGAAGCCGTGACAGCGACCCGTGGGCGTTGCACTGCCTCTGAGGCATATTTACGTGATCCTAAACTCTCCTGCCACAACTGATCGTATCCATTGCGTTCCAATGGTTTTCATGTTCCTGTGGAAGCCTCGCGGGGCTGAAAAACATGCTTTTCCATCATCTGTGTTCCAGTGTGTTTCAGTGTTGACACCTGTGTTTTTTTTAGCATGATCAGCTCGGTGACGTCAAGCGTTCCATGGGGATTGTTGCCGAGGTGTGACTTAGGAGTGACTTCTTGGAATCGGCGTTTACATGGGGGAACACATAGTCACAGAGACAAAGGAGTGACTTAGGCATGACTTTGTCGAATGCCTGTATCTATGTTTTTCCTTTGGTCTCCCTCTATAAAACCGCCTCCCAACGCGGGGCCAAACGTCCATCCCCCTCTCCCTGCCCGGCCTCGAGCATCTGCTCATAGGCCCGCCTAGGCTGTTGAAGTGTAGCTGGCAGGTAGGCAGCCAGAAAGAATCCTTTTAAAGCTCCTCGCCCCTTGTTCGGGATGAATACCCGCTTATATGGACATGGAGAGGGATATATGATATGGATGATATATGGATACATGGATATGTGGAAAAATTGAGAAATATGGAGAAACATGGAGAACAAATGATTAATATGGATTAATATGGATTAATATGGATTAATATGGACTAATAAGAATATGGATTAATATGGATTAAAAGGGATTAATGTGGATTAATATGGATTCATATGGATACATATATATATATATATGGATGGTAGGACATGCAGTGAACACACACACACACACTGACCAGGGGGCCAAACACTGGCGACAGACGTTTCAAATTATCCAAACTCAAGAGCCATATTCTGGTGGGCATCTGCAACAGGGTACGTACGAGTACCCAGCGGGTGCAATACTATGGTACGGGTGCGGTATGGTAAGGTATCCCGGACCTGTACCAGAAAGACTGGCTGTGTTTTTTACAAAATTGGTTGTGTGTTTCCCAAAGTGGTTGTGGTTCTTTGGTAAGGGTACAAGGGTACGGGTTCGACGTACGGGGGTACGGGTGCAAGGTACGGGGTTCGGGTGCAGGGTGCCTGTACCGTACCCGTACCCTACTCGCACTGGGTAGTACCCGTACCCGCACCGCACCCCTACATTCAGAGACCACCAAAACCCAAAAGCATGGCTCTCAAATTTAGGTAAGTCTCAAACCTGGAACCACCGTTGCCACCAGCGATCCGCAAATGAATTTGGGGAACAACTTCAATCACTGGGCCTCACATGGAGCGTTCGCCCCGCGAACCGAACCGCTCCACTTGGGCGGAGACGTTGCGGAGCCTCCTTTAAAACGTCGAGGTCGCTCAGCGCATGTGTTCCATACCGATTGACCCACTTGCCCCCGAGGAGCTTGCCCTCTTCCCTTAGCTCCGGCGAGGGGTGTGTGGTGTTTCGGGCGTTCTTCTTTCAAACGAGCTTTCCCTTTTAAGCTCACACATCCAGCCCTCCAGTACCATTCACCGCCAAATGCCGCAGCCACATCGAGAACAAACCTAACAAGCAAGTGGGAAACTACAGCTAGTGCGGCTAGTGTGAGTCCCGCAAGCACCCCGCGAATCGTCACTGGTCGCAAACGCCGTCGGTGCCTGGACACTTCCCTACCGCCGGCCTTTCAGTTTTCCTTTCGCGGGGCAAATCAGTTTTGAACAGCTTGTTTTCAAGCAATGGTTTTCTACTCCTCTTCTTGAGAAGCAGTTGGCTCAGAATAAACCGTTCCAACTGAACCGGTGCACCGAACATGCCCGCCGGAAGCTTCAAACTTGCATGCGCTTTTTGCCGTGACATTATGCTGGATGCCTCTCAGCATCTGCTTCTCATCCGCTTTTGTGTCTGTACCCCAGACAGGTTACACACCCTTTAAATACGTGCAAAAAACAATGACGGCCGTTGTTGGAGTCTCACAAACCCCACAGAATGCTCCATGCAAGAAAACGAAGCATACGAGCAGCTGAGCATACGAGCAGCTGAGCTCAGAGCTTCCATGACAGGGTTCCCCAAAAGATATTGCCAGAAACGTGTCCTGGAAACCTTGCCAAAATCTACTTTTCCCGAGGCTGGCTGAGGTTCCCACTCACGCTCTTCCACGTCCGCCATTGAGTCAACGGCGTGTTCGAGAACGGGGACGGTCAGGCTCAATGGTGCGTGCGGTGCGATACCGCGCGCTGGGGGTTGCCCAAATCACAAGAGTGTGTCTGCAATTGTGTGATTTCTGCCAGGCGGCAGCTGGACTGAGGGCCTTTCGCATCTGGGTGCTTGCGATGCCACGACCAAAGCGGAACGGACTCGAGCAGAGGCGGCGGGGCACATTGACATGACGCTTGGCCATTTGGGTATCAAAACTCGGGACTAGGGAATTGTTTTGGGGTGGTTTTGAAAGAACCAAACACTACACTGAAAGCAGCTAAATGCTGCGTCGCCGCACGTTGCACTGTGATGAGGTACGAGCTTAGCTCCATCCACGCACACACACACACACACATACCAATGTGAAGCCACAGACTCCGATCTGACGCAGTGTTTAGAAAACACCCGCCTGTCCGAATGCACAGTTTAGGAGTCTGAGCTGTTCCAAGCAACCAAACAAAAAGAAATATGTTTCTTGACACATCAACCCTTAGCAGGGTTGAAAAGGCAAAGCTGCCTTGCGTGCGTGCGTGCGTGCGTGCGTGCCAGCGTGCGTGCATGCCTGCGTGCCTGCGTGCCTGCGTGCCTGCGTGCCTGCGTGCCTGCGTGCCTGCGTGCCTGCGTGCCTGCGTGCCTGCCTGCCTGTCTGCGTGCCTGCGTGCCTGCGTGCCTGCGTGCCTGCGTGCCTGCGAGCCTGCGTGCCTGCGTGCCTGCGTGCCTGCGTGCCTGCGTGCCGGCGTGCCGGCGTGCCTGCGTGCCTGCGTGCCTGCGTGCCTGCGTGCCTGCGTGCCTGCGTGCCTGCGTGCCTGCGTGCCTGCGTGCCTGCTGGCGTGCGTGCCTGCGCGCGTGCGCGCGCGCGCAGTGGCGTGGCGTGGCGTGGCGTGGCGTGCGGTGGCGTGGCGTGGCGTGCCGTGCCGTGCCGTGGCGTGGCGTGGCGTGCCGTGCCGTGCCGTGCCGTAGCGTGGCGTGGCGTGGCGTGCGTGGCGTGCGTGCGTGTGTGCGTGCGCTGGGGCGCCGGGGCGCCGGGAAGGGCGGGGGTGCGGGGGGGCGGGGGGGCGGGGGCGGGCGGGGCGGAGGTCAGGCTTATCAAGCCCTGGAACCTGAACCTTGGGAATTGTTTTGGGGGGTTACGGGTATGTGACGCTGGATAGAGGGAAACCCCGGCAACTCGCTTCCTGAGTTCCTGGACTTTAGCTAATGGGAAATACGATTTTGGTAAATGCAAAGTTTGGGCTTTTTTTGCACATCCACTCAGGAAGTAAAAGGTTGCCTTGCAAGTCCCTCGATTAGAATTTCACCTGATCTGTGTCCAGAACTGAGGAAGGTCTCAAGGTGCCTTAAGAAGACCCAATTCTCTTCCATGGACATCAAGGTCCAAAAGCGCCCTTCCATGTTCCACGCAAGTTGCGAGCCCCAAACACTGCTTCCCGTCGGGCTTTCCTTGGAGTTGCCTTTCCCAAGCCCAAAGGAGGCCACCTTTTCCTTCACCTGCCAACGTTTCCGTTGCGGCCCGCCGGCTCAGCCTCCATCACCTCATGTGCAACAAAGCGAATGCGTCAAAACTAGAGGACGATTGGCCCGAAAGCATTTTTCCCCAGGTGCTCATCCAGCCGCGCAGACACCTTTTTACATCGCTGCGGCGAGCGTGTCTGCACGCGGCGATGCTCAATGTGTATGGTCACATGAGAGCTCCATCTCATCGTCCTACGAGAGGAAACATGGCAGTGCTCGATCCAACATATTTACATCCGTTAAAACAAGAAGAGTAAAGCTCGTAAAGCTCGAAGCGAATTACAAGCAAAAGGTTAAAAGCAATCAATAGCAAAGCTTACACGACGGCCACAGTTTCTGCAAAGCACGCCCGCGCAACTTAGCTCTGTGCAAGATGGCTCTGCGCAGCTTGGCTCTGTGAAAGTTGGCTCTACGCAAGCTACTTTTCGCGAGTGGCTCTGCGCAACTGGCTCTGTGCAAGTTGGCCCTGCACGAGTCTGCTCGGCGCAATGCGCTTTGCACGAACTGCGCCGCGCGATTTCTCACGAAAGTGGTCTGCGCAAGCTGCATTGTTCCAGGCTGCTGCGCGCAAGTTGCTCTCTGCAAGCTGCTGCACGCAAGTGCTCTGTGCAAGTTGCTCTGCGCAAGTGCTCTGAGCAAGTTGCTCCGCGCAAGTGCTCTGCGCCAGTTGCTCCGTGCAAGCGCTTTGCGCTTGTGCTCTGTGCAAGTTGGTCTGCGCAAGTTGCTCTGCGCAAGTGCTTTGTGCAAGTGCTCTGTGCAAGTTGCTCTGCGCAAGTTGCTCTGCGCAAGTGACTCTGCGCAAGTTGCTCTGCGCAAGTGCTGCCGGAGCTGTGGGAACTTCGCGTACTATTTTTGTACTTAAAAGTTGCGATTTTCCAGCCGGAGCTGCGTTTGTACTTAAAAGTTGCGATTTTCCAGCCGGAGCTGCGGGAGCACGCTCCGCATACTACGTCTGTACTTGAAAGTTGCGATTTTCCAGCCGGAGCTGCAGGAGCACGCTCCGCGTGTTTCTACTTAAAAGCTGCGATTTTTCAAGCCGGAGCTGCCGCGGACCAGGGGGGAATCGAACACGCGACCGCGGGATTGCGAAAGCAGGCGCGCAAACCACGAGACAACTTCCAAAGGCCATTTCACGAGAAACGAAATCGCACGGCGCCACAGCGAGAGCGCTTCGACACGCACGATCTCCGCACAGCGTTCGCCGAGACTAAGAAGAATTCGCACGGCGCCACAGCGAGAGCGCTTCGACACGCACGATCTCCGCAGAGGGTTCATCAGGGAATGTCAAAAACGCAAAAAACCTCGAGTTTTTGCACCTCGACCACGCCGATCCCCGCAGAGGGCCGCGCGGGCGTATCAAAAAAAATCAAAAAACAACCTTGAGTTTTTGCACCTCGACCACGCCGATCCCCGCAGAGGGTCGCGCGGCACCGCAAAAAACGCAAAAACACCTCGAGTTTTTGCACCTCGACCATGCCGATCCCCGCAGAGGGTCGCGCGGGCGCCGCAAAAAACGTAAAAAAAAAAAAAAGAGAAAAAAAAAGAAAAAACTCGAGTTTTTGCACCTCGACCACGCCGATCCCCGCAGAGGGTCGCATTCCCGATCGTCGGCAACATCCCCACCCCCCGCCAAGAAAGAGATTCTTAATACCGAGCTCTTTCTCTTTCTTTCCCGCGCGTTAAGCACTTAACCTAACTTACTTAGCCTAGCTTACACAGCTGCTAACGCCGAGCCTCTACACCTAGCTTCGCTTGGCTCTATGCACCTAGCTCTATGCACTTGGCTCTATGCACCTGGCTCGATGCACTTCGCTCTTTGCACTTGGCTCTGTGCACTTAGCTCTGTGCACTTGGCTCCTTGCACCTCGCTCTTTGCACTTCGCTCTGAGCACTTGGCTCTATGCGCTTGGCTCTTTGCGCTTGGCTCTGCGCAAGTAACTCTATGCTGGTGACTCCATGCTGGTGACTCTATGCAAGTATCTCCATGCTGGTGACTCTGCGCAAGTCTCTCCATGCTGGTATCTCCATGCTGGTGACTCTGCGCAAGTATCTCCATGCTGGTAGCTCTGTGCAAGCTACTCTGCGCTAGTAACTCTGCGCGAGTATCTCCATGCATACTCTGCGCAAGTTGACCAAGAGCTCCTGATATCTCCATGCTGGTGACTCTGTGCAAGCTACTCTGCGCAAGTTGACCAAGAGCTCCGCACGGAAGAACCCTTCGCAATGCTTTCGGGAAAAAACCTGGAGCCCCCCAGATCAGACCCCCAGTCTCAAATTACTGGTGTCCTGTAAAAGGCCGGCCAGTTTCCGACTTCTCCCAGCCCGGTGACCCAGTCATGGGAAAACTCATCGGGCGGCCTTTGTGGTTGAGTTCTCAACTTGCGGCACATCCCAACATAAAACAACCCACTGGCACTGGAGCTCTGGCGAAACGAGGCCTTCCGACTCCGTGCCTGAGGCACGGGGGCGGACATGGCGTGGATCGGAAGCCGGGAGGACTCGAGTCGTACTGTGAGCGCGGCGAGTGGAAAGGGATAACAAAAATGAGCCATGAGGTTCGGAGCAACCCTGGTGATTTCAATTAGTCTGAGCTCGTTACACAAAAGCTGGTGAGCAGAGGCACCTAAACATCCGGACAAGTTGGGTGCTCTTCGGCCTTTTATTTAGGCTTTTCAACCCCTGAACTTTGGGTGCAGATGGTGGTCTGCAGGGTCCCAAGACTTACAGGCCTGTTGTTTACTGCAACCACGTACAGGGTTTGGTTAAAGAAACGTCGCCTGGCCAAATAAAACTCAATCCAGCTTGTTGAGATTGGCAGAAAGTTGCTGACGAGAAAGACAACTTAGACGGAACCCTGAGAAAACCAATCACAAACTGTGGTTATGTTTCTCCAGGATCTCCAGGGCATCCCTAATTCCCTGCTTGCAATATCAACGGAATTTAAGCAGTGCAAAGTCTGCTGACAGCGCCCTCAGCATACATCACGACGAACACCAACCGATTCCTCCGAATGCTCAGTGGCAATTCCAGACACAAAAGATTCAAAGTGATGCACTGGTCTTTCTTTCTTGCTCATAGACAGACTCCTGTCCAATCCATGAACATGCACGCGCTTTGCACTACCATTATCTAAAGAAGGCCTCTTAAACGTCCACTTCCATGTTGGAAAGGGGGCACCCAAATCAGAATAGCATCCTTGCAGGGATGGAAGTGTGCATCTGCATGTACGTGTGTGTGTGTGCGTGTGTGCGTGTGTGCGTGTGTGTGCGTGCGTGTGTGCGTGTGCATGCGCGCCTGTGCGCCTGTGTGCCTGTGCGCCTGTGCGACTGTGCGACTGTGCGCCTGTGCGTGTGTAGGTGAGTAGAACATCAACGGCGCACCTTTACCAACTTCCACAAACAGGAGCACAACTTGCGGCGCCTTGAAATCACTTCTACGACAGCACAGTTTTTTCTGCATCTATGTTCTTGTGACTTCTGAAGTTGTGTGGAAACCCTGTTGAAAGCTCGTCACGTTGTGTTCCCCAAACCACACCGCATGTGCAAAGGCCCGGCTCCTGGCTCCCAGCTTCCGCAGCTTCCGATCGAAAGACTCGGCGATGCTTTTTGCGGGTCAAAAGCGCCGCTCGCGCGTTGTTACGCCGCGGAGTTTCACCGCACCAAAAGCCGCGCCCCGCGGAGCTCCCCCGCAGATCGATCGCAGATCGCCAGACTCCGTAGGCGCCGGACTCCGCAGATCGCAGAGGCGCCAGCGCCGGAACGCCGAAGGCTCATTAAAATGAAGGGCGATGTCGCCAGCATGAATCGCCCACAAGACAAAAAACTAATGTTTGGCACCAAGACTGTGCAAGCCATGTATCTGCATTCAATTGCAAAGCTTCCATCTGAATACCGCTAATTCACTGATAGCAACAAAGGCAAACTTGCAATAGCCACCCTTCTCTTCTCTGAAGGATGGTACCACCTTGTGCCACCTAGGTTCCGCCCAGCAGTGTTGGGCTGTACAAACAGAAAATACAGGGCAAGTGCAGGGAGCAATTTGGAAGTCCCTGCACCTTTGACATGTTGAGCGCTTTTGAAGTTGTCTTTTCACACTCCGTTGGGTTGAGGGACGAAAGCCTAGCCCGCTATGGCCATTCATCATGCGTCTGGCCTCCTTCACTGTTGGAAGAAGGCCTTGCCCTTTACGCGCAAGAAAAAGGACAGCAGGACATTGACCTGCCAGCCGAATAATTCGGCTCAAACAATTCGTCGCCATATCCACTCCGTGGCACCTGAAAGCAAGCAATCCAACCACACATCGCGGCAACTTTCGAATTTGGATGAGGAAGAAAACCCTTCGAAGCGGTTGGACATAAAGCCCACCGCGAAGCTGATGTTCATGAAAGGGTCCCGAAAAAAGATCTACGAAACCACCGATGACTGCGGCCTTGCCGGCGTCGACATAAGGCTCAGCTGCGCTTCCCGGAGACTGAAACAAAAATGACCACGTTGGAAAACTTTTCTTTAATGGAGATGTATCGAATTTGAACCCCAAACCAACTGGTGCGGTTTGAGGATTGTGCCGGTGGACGCCATTCTTTGGGTTCGATGCCAATTGCCAGCCGATATGCACTGATTCGAGTTCTTGGGCGTTCTGGTGGACAACAAAATACTTTGGATGGACAAAATATTGCACCAGGCTGAAGGCTAAGCAATTTTCTTGTGGGAGTTCCATCCAGTTGGTGCAGGACTGAAATACAATCATCGGTGTTCCCTGAGTTCGCGGCAGATCGTTGCACATTGCTCAAAATAAACCACAGACCTTTCAGGAGGTGATTCTCGAGGTCCCAATCCCCGCAAAGTGTTGGCCGCAATGCCCGAGAAACTCATGTCAAACTGCATGTGAAACTGTTGATTCAGCTAGTATCATTGTTGTCCCTGCACCCCGGGGTGCACCGTTCTCCAGTTTCCTGAAAAGCCATCTCATCCCTTTGCGCTGTACATCGCGTACACATGACTATGACTCATCCAAGTGTTGCTTTCTTCGGGAGCACGATTTAGGGGTACACGATGGCAGTCCCTGGCTGACAACAATTGGGTTAAGAGCTCGTCCCTCAACCCCCTTTAACAGAATGGCAAGGACCCAATTTGGATGAAAATCCTCAGCGAAATCATGGTGAATATAATTTTCCCCTAACCACTCCTTTGATCGGGCTATATGAACCCAGCCGCTGTTTCAACGGCGGCATGCCTGAACCCCAGGCAAGCAAAGGAGCAAAGCGCTCATTTCGCAGAATGCGGGGGCCATTGGAAGGAAAATGGTGTGGCATATCCTCTAAAAATGATATAACACCTGCAAGTCTTGCAATGGAGAGGGGGTGGTCTAACCACGACTGTAAACGCAATCGGTGTTCCACCTCCCTCAAAATGAAAAACCCTCCCTCCCACGTTGCCATGGCATCTGACAGGGTGTCATTTCATGAGGAAATTGATCTAGGTACCCTCCCACAGGTGCTATGTTAGTGGGAGGCAGTTCACTTTCCCAAAGGGTCAACTGTAACACAGATCGGGGCATGGGGCACTCCTCCCATGCTCTGAACCATTTGGCTACCAGTATCGTCCGCCTCCTGCAGCATCGGCGCATCTGCGTGGGAACCTTGGTCTTAGTCCTGCCAGCGGAGCATGTGGTGTGTGTGTGTGTGATCCCCTTCTCTTGGCGGTCCCGCTTTCTTGACACATTCCCATATCAGCCAGGATCAAAACTCCTTCTGCAAACCAGGGTCATGGCTCCCTTGAATACAAGGAAGCTGCAGCGGTTGTCTATGTTGCCTAGTGTGGGGAGAAGGCAACCACTAGGACTCAATAGGGATCAAGTAGGACGAGTTGCAACTGTTTGAACCAAGCAAAAGTGTGAAAGGGAACCTGCAATCGAGTCAAGCAACGTTGCAGAATTGGGCAAAGTGAGAACGGGCGGTTATACGAGTCTACCAACACAACACTAGCTACACATGATTAACATCACTACAACCAGGCTGCAATTAGGACCCCAGAAAAAGAAAAAAATGCCTGGTTAGTGGAAAACAAAGGAACCCCAAAAAAACAAACGAAAAACACACACACACACAAAAAAAAAAAGAAAGGGGGAGCTAATTCTGGGGAAGTACAAGAAACCCTTTGCCTGGGTTCAGTCGCAGTGCGGCACGAGGGAAATCCAAAGGTTCTCGTCGTGGACTCAACTCAACTTTGCGCCGCCAGGCTGCATCGGCTTCGGATGAGGGGCCGGTCGCTCGATGGAAGCTGACAGGTTTTTTGAAGAGAGAAATGGTCCAGGATCTCGGGGCGAAACTGTGAAACTGCATTGCATGGCGTGAACCTGTGGCTCGGATGGTACTCGTCATAAGACCATTCTCGCTGCCGGATCGGGCCAAGCCCTTGTTTCAACATGTTTAAACCCCGTGGTTTAAACAACCTCCTTTTGGCTTTGCAAAGGCGAAAGGTCTGGCGGCGACCAATTTTGCAACCAAACCGGGCCGGCGCCTGCTCCCTCTCCAAGATGGGCATGGAGTCGGTCTGCGCACACAAAACACAAGCAAGCATCTGCCTTTTGATGCGGAATGAACTTTGAAGGCTGGCTAGACAATGTGTCTCGAACAACAAAACCCAGCTCACCACAATTTTGTAGAATCGCGTGGTTCTCGCCGTTGCTCCTTGGCGCATAAAAAAAAGAAGCAACCAAAAACACAGCAAATGCCGTGCAACTTTTTATAGGGCATGCAGCAAGCAGTGAGTTTGTAGACTGGCAATCTTTCGACCGAACCTCATGCACTTGGACCCGGTGGCTGCAGCGGCTGTGAGGAATTGAAGACGCCTTGTGCTCCATGACGGACCAAATCCAGATCATCATGGGAATTCCGGACCTTGGCAGAGAAGCTGACAGGCAGTTGCCACACTTGTGTGTGTGTGTGTGCGTGGGTGCGTGCGTGCGTGCGTGCGTGCGTGCGTGCGTGCGTGCGTGCGTGCGTGCGTGCGTGCGTGCGTGCGTGCGTGCGTGCGTGCGTGCGTGCGTGCGTGCGTGCGTGGGTGGGTGGGTGGGTGGGTGGGTGGGTGGGTAGGTGGGTGGGTGGGTG